AGTGGGCGGGCAAGGGGCGTGGCTGGACTGACAGCTGGAGGGGCTAATTAAAGAAACCAATCAGGAAGACAGATCCAGGTGGGCAGCAGTGTTCCCTCTAAGCTGCATTAGTGTGAGTTAACTCATAGTTTTTTAGCCTCCGCCTCACGCATTTTTGCCTTAGCTCAGGAAGGAGGGCTCCAGAGCAAACTAGTTTATGCAGCAGCCAAATCACTTGCTCACAACTTTAATGCCAGGAGCTCACAAAGGATAATTTTTGCTCACAACACTCCACAGCTTAAAGGGAGCTTTGGTGGGTAGCCCTGTTGGTCTGAAGCAGCTAAGTAAAGTCTGAGTCCAGAGGCAGTATAAGTATAAACTTTAAATGGTGTGATGGACATGACACTGCTCAACCATTCATCTCAACCTCCATGGTTGAGAGGAGACAAATGGAGTGTAACTGAAGTGAAAGGAAACTTTTACCCAATCCGTCTCCTATTTTGACATAGTTCCAGGTGGTCAACCATGTTGGTCTGAAGCAGTAGAAACAAATTTAGAGTCCAGTGGCCCCTTTAAGACCAACAAAAGTTTATTTGAGGTATGAGCTTTCGTGTGCAAGGCACACCTTTTCCAAATACATTGGAATGGAAGGTAGAGTTCAAACTTATAGAAGAAGAGGAGATTGGATTTATACCCCGTCCTTCACTGGGAGTCTCAGAACGGCTTACAAACTCCTTTCCCTTCCCCTACCCACAACAGACACCCTGTGAGGCAGGTGGGGCTGGGAGAACTCTGAGAGAAATGGCTCTTTTTCAAGAACAGCTCTGAGAGAACTATGGCTTGCCCAAGATCACACCAGCAGCAGCAAGTGGAGGAGTGGGGAATCAAGCCCGGTTCTCCCAGATTAGAGTCCGCACACTTAATCACTACACCAAACTGGCTGAACAGCGAATTAACACGTTACATGATGAAGATGTTTTAAGATATGCAAAGACAAAACTAAATAAGAAGCAAAGGTTATACGGTCAACAGTTAATTAAGGGAGGAAAAGGACAGTAAAGCAATAAATATGTCAAAATAGCGGATAAATGTGTGAAGGTTATCTTTTCTAAATGTGGTAAGTAAACTTGGGTGGGTGCAGTTTGCCCAACAAGGGCCTTAGGCAAGGAAGAGCGCCACAGGTTCCTGAAGTCTGACAACCATGAAAGCAGGATTTATTCATTTTTCCTTACAGATTTTAAACTTCAGAAATGTGTGCCAAAGGAACTCCTGCACTTTCCCTTTCATAACAGGAGTCAAAAGTTCACACTGCATGAAAACACTGGAATGAATAACATATCCGCCCCCAAGCTATTGCAAAAAAAAAAAAAAGGGCACAGCACAGCTGCATGTTGTGCTGTCTTAGTTGCAGAAGTTCCCCCCTGCCAAAGTCCGTTCCCTCCTTCCAAACAAGATCAATGCTGCTCAGTTGTACATTTGGGTGTATTGAACAGATCTGTTGGGGCCGTTCTTACAGGCCACTCAAGGTCTTCTAACCGATGTCAAGGAAGCATCCCCTCCAGTTCTCCGTGGAGATCTACTCCCAGGCAGTTGGCTGGTTCTTTGAGACAGTCCAGGCAAGGCTGATGTGCTGCTGGTGAGGCCCAGAAGGCAGTGCTGAGGAGCCATCCAGTTCGTGCCCAGCTGCTCTGCAGCAGCTTCTCTAGGGTACTTCCAACAACACAGGCAGGCCAGCTAGGAGTCCCCCCCCTCCATCACCCCAGATCCCAGTTGATCCCACTCAGACATCCAGGTCATCATCGGGATCTTCTTCATCGATGTCATCAGCAGCATCTGGCTCATAGTAGATCTTTCCCAGGCTAGTTGAGGTCTGTAACAGAGACGATTTCCTGAATGGGGAAGAAAGGAAGTTAGAGGCTCCATCGCGAGCTGGGAAGCAGTGGAAGAGAAAGAAGGAATGCTGTAAAGGGATGTGGGGCTGAAGAATGTGGCGGTGGTCTTCAAACTCAGGCTGCCCGTCAGTAGGAAGCCTGATTACTGTCCTAAAGGGCGGCATGATAAGAGGTTTATAAAATGACACACGGAGTGGAGACAGCTGACAAAGAGAACCTTTTCTTCTTTCCTCCAAAATACGAGGAGTCAGGGGTCATTTCATAGAAAAATAGGTGCAGGAGCTCATTTGCAGAGCTCATGAGAATATGCCACACCCCCTGACAAAGGGCAGGGATGCAAGCATGCCTGGGTTCCCTGCCTGATCTTCTCAAGATTGGGCAGGGAACCCAGGCATTTAAATCCCCCCAGGTGGCGAGGGTCCCACCCCTGGGCTCCTTACTGCCGGAGCGCCACTCCAGTGCGCTCTGGCAGGAAATGACCCCTGCTAGGAGTCAAGGGCATCCAGTGAAGACGATGGGCAGTCGATTCAGGATGGACAAAAGGAGATGCTTCTTTACACTGCGACTGATTAAAATGTGGAATTTGCTGCCAGACGATGCAGTGACGGCCGCAGGTATAGAAGGCTTTAAAAGCGGATTAGACCGATTAATGGAGGATACATCTATCAGGGGCTACAAGCCATGGTGACTGAAGGGAGCCTCCGTGTTCAGGGGCAGTCAACCTCTGAATCCCAGTGCCAGGAAGCAACATGAAAGGATGGCCTCAGCTCTGTTATTGGACCTCCAGAGGAACTGGGTGGCTCCTGTGTGGGATGGGATGCTGGACTAGATGGACCACTGTTCTGATCCAGCAGGGCTCTTCTGATGCTGTTATCACCTCTGTTCACCCTCAAGAAGGACAGCTACATACATGACGAAGGAGAGCAGGTCTGGCATTCCCCCACAACTGCCCTTACCACTGTCCTTATGCATGACAAAAACACAGGGACCTGTGAGATGTGTACGGATGTATATGCGGTGCGTTATCCTGAATAAGCCCCTCGCGCTGTTTGCATGTGTTCACACAAGCACTCTCCAAAACCTGGAATCAAAGCAGTGTCAATGAAGAACCAAGGCCTTGAAATGAAGATGTCCACAGCAAATGGCCCGGTTCTTCAGGAAGCAACACAATCTGTAGTGAGACACTAGGGGTCGAAAGAAAGAAATTGCAAGCCGATAAATAGGTACCACTTCGGTGGGAAGGGAACAGCGTTCCGTGCGCCTTGGTGTTTAGTCATGCTGGCCACATAACCACGGAAACATCCTCGGACAGCGCTGGCTCTTCGGCTTTGAAACGGAGATGAGCACCGCAACCCTAGAGTCGGACTTGACTGGCTTTCGAGCAAGGGAAACCTTTACCTTTACCTTTTTTTGTCCCCCGAAGCAGCCATTTTCTTCAGGGGGGCTAATCTCTGTAGTCTGGGATCAGTTGTCATTCCTGGAGGCCAATACAAAAACTAAGGGTGCGTTATCCTGAATAAGCCCCTTGCGCTGTTTGCATGTGTTCACACAAACACTCTCCAAAACCTGGGATCAAAGCAGTGTCAATGAAGAACCAAGGCCTTGAAATGAAGATGTCCACAGCAAATGGCCCGGTTCTTCAGGAAGCAACACAATCTGTAGTGAGACACTAGGGGGGTGGGGCACAGGTCTTGGTCTTGGGAAGTAGTTTCTACTTCTTGCAGCTTTGGGGAGAGCACCCACACACAAACCTAGACATACTCTGTACAGCAGCCGTTCAAGGAAAGCCAGCCCGCACCATCCCTGTATAAATCGATGGTGCGACCTCATTTGGAATAGTGCGTACAGTTCTGGTCACCACACCTCAAAAAGGATATTATAGCATTGGAAAAAGTGCAGAAAAGGGCAACTCGAATGATCAAAGGGTTGGAACACTTTCCCTATGAAGAAAGGTTAAAGTGCTTGGGGCTCTTTAGCTTGGAGAAACGACGGCTGAGGGGTGACATGATCGAGGTTTATAAGATTATGCATAGGATAGAGCAGGTCGAGAAAGAGGTACTTTTCTCCCTTTCTCACAATAC